AGATGTGAGGCTATACTTTTCTAAATGCTTTCCTGATTATTATTTGTACTTTGAGGACTCTTCAGAACCTGAAGATCAGACTTAAATTCCCTTGGTAAAAGGAGACTCAGAGTGGAGACAATTTTGGATTTGAAGCTTAAGAGTCACAGTTTGATTATAGCACCATCTGCAGAGGCACATTCTTTTTTTTCACTACAGTTTTCCATTTTTTCCATGAAGACACAATAGGACGGAACAACCCAACAGTAGGTTTGAAGACTGGAACTAAGCCTGAAAGAAAGGATTTATGTTGCTATTTCTTCCACTGAACATAGATTTCAGGAAATTGAATTGCTATTTTTACAGGCTTGTGTATTAGGAGAGGTTTTTGTTCTGAGCGGCTGTAACCCGGGGGGGGGGGGGGGGGGTGACTATTTTTTACTCCAACTCCACCACCAGAGGGAGGTCCATGTTCATTATTAGTTATACCAAAAAATGAATTCACTGTAGATGGAATGTACAAACAGAGTTTATTGTGAGGCAAATTTGACAGTTCATCATTGATAGCTGTTGCGAAAGCAGAGATGCCCTTGATAAAATAAGGATTAGGGTTAGGGTTACAGAAGTTAGTAGAAGCTTCTTTCTCTTTAGGTTGGTTTCAAAAGGTGTCATGGCCATGTCTCTAAGAAGTCTTCAGAATAGCTGCCATCAGATCATCTGAAATTGCAGTGTTTACTTGCTGAGCTTTGCCTTACATCATTTGTTGATTGTTGTTTGCTCTACTAGTTACCTCCTCATTTCTGATCCCGTAGTACTGTATTTGTGCTTACCGTGACTTGTCACCTTGCTGCTTCATGTCCAAACTGCACTCTTTTTTCTATGTGAGAATCCAGTATACCAGTTTATCTGGGTCCACTGATCCACCAGCTGTCCATCATCCTAGATCTAGAGTACAATCTCTATGTGCCACATCCTCTATATTTTTACTTCAGAAGGAATGTACTGAAAAAATTTGGTGAAACTTTTGAGTTAATTCACTTCTACAATAGTGTGTTTACTCTTAGTGCTCCAAGGCCATGAACATAAACAGGCCTGGTATACGTCTACAACCTAGGAAACAAGTCTGTCATTACCACAACATGAAGTTGCAGAACTGCATTATAGTACAGGTAATCCTAACTTATTTATTTTTGAGTTTAAATAAATAAAAACTGTATTAGAAAACATGGCCTGACATTTGGTGAGCCACATGATATCTTTTAAAGGTCCAATCAAACCTGCCTCATTTTATTCACAAGTTGTTCCTCACAGACTCCCAATAGGGAAAATGAACCGTTCTCACTCTTGCAGCTATGAGTGCAGCATCCTCAGTTAAAATTAGCACGCAAGCGTAATGTTCCAATCAGTTCCGTGCTGAGTCAGATAAATATCCACAACTATCTTTTAGTCTGTGCATAAAGGGTTTTAGGTGCCCTTGTAAAGGCTTTAATTGAGCAAAAGAAAGATGAAGGGTTCATTTTGAATTTGAAGTATAAGACCCTGCAACTTAAAAAAAAATTGCAGCCACTTTTCAAGGCAGTAATTGAATAAAATGCTGCTCAGATTAGATTTAATTTGAATGTAAGTTGTTTTGCCATGTTGATACTGATGAAGGACTGTCGCAGGAAAAAAAGGATAGGACCCAAACAGAGTTAGTGATATACAATTAAAAGTGTACTGCTGACAGGAAAAGGATCGATTGAGACGCAGCAAAATACGATTAATCTTATTCACTTTTACAGCTTCCATGCTTATCTTTTTCCATCAATGTATAATCGTGCTTACCGTTATATAAAACCCAGATATTCCTATAATTTCATGTGCATACTTGCTGGGCTGATCACTTTAAATGTATTTTTAGCGTATGAATTGCTGTTAAAAGAAAGAAGATATAACAAACAGAAGCTCTTGCATATGATGTTTCATTTTCAGTCAGTTTGGTGTCTGCAGCTGCATTTGTCGAAGATGTCACGTCTGGAATTTTTAGGGGGTGTTTGTGCTGCTGTGATTTCCCAACAGCTTGACTCGTGGTTCTGACTCATTAGCTTCCTGCACTGCTACAATGAGCCTCATCAATCGTAACCCCTAGAATAAAAAACAATTTTCTCCCTACCTGGCTATCATGGTTGTTTTTGCCCAATAATACAACCTACAAAACAAAATGTTATGCTTTTTTATGCAGGGACACCAAGAGCAGAGGCAAGTATTTCTGTGATAAATACCTTTGTTAGGGGAGTCATTTTTACTTAGTCAGCCATCCATACAATTTGAGACAAAAAAAGAGTCCGTCATGTTGACGTGCATGGTAAAAACATGCAGATGAAGTGAAGTTACGTGTTCAACCAGAGCTTTGCAAAAGCTGTCACGACTGAACACGTGTAACTTTGCAAGTTCAAACTTCAGTCAAGTAAGTATAAGTTATTAAGAATTGCTGCCGCATTAGGCCTGAGCTCATTTGAGATCAACAGAGGTAATTCTGAAAAGCAACTTGTGTTGGTACAACAGAAAATTCGATGTCACTGTAAGACACGCAGCACACTGTGTCCTTCTTGCTAACAAGGTGAGCACAATGCACTGCTGTTTTATGAGCATGCTGTTCTGTAACCTATAGCAGTGATTTCATGGGGCAGCTTTAGTCCACATAGCATTAATAACATATGTCCCTTTTCCAATATTAGTTATACTTGTCTTTCATTGGCTCAGTTTGGGTTGTTTCCCATTATACTGAGGTGGCCCATTAAGATGGCCAAAAAGTCCCATGATGTCATTTGCTTGCAACACAAACCCAACACGACAATGAAGGCATTATAATTATGGCATCGTTATACTGAATCAACCCAAACTGGACCATGGGGTAAGTTTAAGTGTGACCGTTTACCCTGTGGTTGATCACAGAAATAATGAAATCCTAACCCTAGCCCTAATTGTTTGTTTGTTTTTTTAATCTGCTGGGTTTGTGTGAAGAAGCCGGTTTCACAACTCTTCCAATCACGCGGCTGCTTGATAATAGCCCTGGTCATTTGGAACCCCGGCTGAGTGAGCGCTAAAATATGAACTGGTACCAGGTGGTACCACTAAATGGAAATTTTGAATAAACAAGTCTAATTGAATTGCGGTGAGTAGGAAAAAGCAAAGACTTGAAAACATCTCATGCTTCTTTTAGAAATCTCATCCACTGATATTGTTCTTACTCTTACTGTAAATTGGGTTGTTAGAAAAGTGCATTTTTGTTCTGAAAATATGTCCACAAAGGAATAAATCTAACATCTGCAAATGCTGCGGTCATTCAGCAATCACACAGTATGTGTATGGCGTGCACATTCTGGTGTAGAGCCACCAGTGAATCAAGCCAACAGTTGACAGATAGGTTGTCAAATGCTGAGCAAACACTTGCAAATTTGAGTCTGCTAAATGATAATCTGGCAAATTAATAGGATCTTGGTTTTAGTGCCACACAGTGAAAACAGCAGTCTATTTGTGTGTGTTCCGTCCAAAAAGCTCTGCTGCAGCGGCTTCGGGTTTGTGTTTGTGTGTGAGCACGCTACTTCGCCTGTGTGTTCAACAGCAATGATGGGAGATCACTGTGCCCCATCTCACCATTGTTGCTTCCCTACTTCACAGACTCACCCTTATTGCTATCGTTGTGGTAATTCTTATTACAGGGCACCATGCTAATAAAGCAGAAGACACTGTTTAGAACTATATCATGACAGAAAATTACAGTAAAATAAAAATCTGTAACATTTCCTTGGTGTGTCTTCAGGCGACACATGCTAATATATTAAACATCATGTATGGTAATATAAACAATGTCCTGACTTATTGGAAAGGTCAACAGGCAGAATAAGACCAAGCAGACTTTTCCTAAAACTGACTGACCGATATTTTGAGGCATTTGACTGCTGTGCAACGTTTTTACTTTTGTTTTATTCTGTCAGTGCTCCCATCTTTTAATGGGACCAGAGCATGCTGTAATCAAAAGTCCGAAACGATGATAAACCAAAAAAGAAGAAGAAAAAATAACTCAAAACAAAAGTAACTTGGACAAAAGCTAGCACCCTCAAAGAGCATGTGCATTACTCATCCCCCACAGAACTGCCTTGCTGTTGTGTATTGTGGGAGGAATGGGGTAGGCGGCTGTGCAGGGGATTGGGAGCTGAGCTGTGAGACTGCATGACTTCAGTTTCTGCACAAGACACAGCGTACGCCTTATATTTCCTTCCTCTCACCAACACTTGTATTCTGCTTCGGCTGAACATGTGTGTGCGAGGGAATGCATGCACTTAAAAACTAATCAGGAAAGCCAGTGCGGTGGAACCCAGACATCTAATTTATCCTGAGATTTACCCGCATTTCACCTTCAAAGCCACACATACTCTCATTTTACACACACACACATACAAATGAAGGTCTTGTGCTTGTCCCAGGTGCAGAAAAATCTGTGAAGCAGCATGTGGCTTGTCCCAGTTCCTCTACAGTACCTGCATGAATATACGTGTGTGTAATTGCGTATTGCGACAGGATTGACCCATTTGAATCTCAGCAAAGACCCTTGCCAATGCATTTCCTGAAAGTGGTTCAGCATGTAGGCTATAAGCTGCGTATGACACAGCCCCAAGGCAGCCGGCTGTATGTAGAGGTCCAAGGGCATGCTCCCAGTTAGTACAGTAAACTCTTCCTTAAAACTAAAAGCTGGTTGTAAACAGTGCTGTGCAGTGGACGGATTTAAGAGGGAAGACGAGATAGTGAACGCTGAGATGGGGTTTAAAGAGATGTGCAGGCCACCAAGTCCAAACTCCAGTTTCAACTGAGTGACGAGGAGAGGAAGAGGCTGTGTTTAAGTACTTTCAAAGCAGGGCATGCCTGATCTGTAAGTTGAGAGGAGAAAGCAAACACAGAAGAGAGAAGGAAGGACAGGGGAGGGAGGGAAACAATCAGGGTTAGAAAGGGAGAAGAAGATGAGTGTTTCTTTCTGTGGATGATTCAAGTTGCAGCAGCGTCAGACACGGAGAAGAAGTGTTATGTGCGTGCTTATGCGTGCGCGTGTGACTGTGTTGCGTTCTGGCGGAGGAGACGGCAGGAGCAAGACAGAAGCTCCCAACTTCCTTCCTCTCTGCGCCGCTCTGCCCTGTCTCCCCCTCTGCCTCTCCCCGGGACACAGGCAGCCGCCGCGCTGAGATGTAAAGACGCTTGAAGTATGGCATGCAGGGATGGTGTCCGCCAAGACGAAGGAGATGGTGACAGCGACGCGCCCCGCTTTTATTCGGACCCTCTTCTACTTTTTCTGTTTGGCGACTTTGTGAGTCTGTCCGCGGTGCTGAAAGCTCCCACTCGGATCAATCCGACTGGACGACGCGTCTCTTCTACTTCTTCTCCTTTCTTCCTCAGTGCCGAAGTTAAGAGTGTTTGTGTCTCCCTTTAATAGTGTCATGAAAATATCCGGGCAGACAAGGAAGGATGAGAGGATCTATCCGGAGAATTTTACGCGGATTTTGGACAGACTTCTGGACGGCTACGACAACAGACTGCGACCTGGATTCGGAGGTATTAATAAGACATAAGTTGTTTTTCCTGCCCCCAAAATAGCGAGCAATTTCCGAGAAAAGGTATCCTCTGTAATTCTGCAATACAGCTACATGCTGAAGATAATGAGTATCGAACTTTTTATTCCTTATTTCGCCACAATCTTGATAAACAGAGGATTTAGACTATGTAGGGTGAAAAACACTACTGATTAGTTTGATATATTATAGATTTATCTGGAAATATTTAATTAAAAAATAAAAATGTTGCTGAATAATGACCTACTACGTCACTTGTGAGCAAGAAATAACCCCATCATCCCTTCCATCTTGATTTAGAAATTATCTCTATGAGTAAAAAGGGCTGAAAAAGACAGAGGCTTAAAAAAGACATTAAGTGACATAGATATACCAAAGACATACAAGGTAAGTCAGTCAGTTTGGTCTGACTAGTCTAAGACAAGTGCAATACCCCACTGAGCAGTCTGACAGAAGGGAAAATGGATGAAACCTCAAAACGTAAATGCAAAGCATGCACAGCATGGTATCTCTTTAGCACTCTTTGTGTGGGTGACTTGTATGTAACATGTTGCATTTTGGTGGGGTGTCTCTCAACGGAGCTGAATTGTGTCTCGGTTGATAGTGACAGCCTGGTTGTTTTGCTTTCTGAAGGCAGCCCTCTGAAGTCCTGCACATTTGGAGAGTGCAGTTATATAATCTTGAGAATGTGGCTGGACAAATGACCTGATGCACAGTTTGAGTGTTAAAGTGCAGATTTGGTTGTCGTGCTATTGTGTCTGCTGCCTGTTCATGTTAGGAACCAGCGTTTTCCGGCAGAGGCAACTTATTTCTGGTTCACTGCGACTGTGCAAAGCAACCTGTCAACAGAAATGTCCACATGCGGGCATGTAATGCTGCTTGCCTTCATTGTCTGCCTTGACAGCCATTCAGTGAGAGGGAGAGAGAGAGAGAGAGAGAGAGAGAATTTTAACAATACATTTATTAAAAGGTTTTAAAAGTTACAAAAAAACTGCCATGAAACGGCAATCAGTAAATCAGGAATTACAGAAAACAAATTAACCTAGCATAACTCTAAAAAAAGCTCTTCATTTATATGCCAGCACAGAACATTTTTCTGACACCACAACCTGGAAAAGCTTTCCAGGTCTTTCATCATGCGATAGAAAATTAAAATCTATTTTCAGGCGGGCTTTCACCATCTTTTTAAAAACGAGCACAGCATCGTCATCCTGCTCATATAAACAGCCATCTTTGCTCTTCCCAGGATGAAATTAAAAAGCTGGCATTTCATTTTTGCCTTTTGAGAGTACCTGTACCCTAAAATGAACACGTGTTTAGAAAAACCCTCTCCAAATAATTCAAAAAAATGTTCTAACATGGTAAACAGTGGCAGCAAACGAGAACAGTCCAAAAACAATGAAACACAGTCTCGCGATTAGTGCAAAATGGACAGTCCTGGCTAACATCAGAGTTAATAGTAGAAATAAAAGCATTCACAGCCACAATCCCATGTAAAATCCTCCACTGGAGGTCAGCTACTCGCTTAATCAGTGGTGGTTTGTACAGCGCTCTCCACTCAGGCCCAACACTGTCACCGAGACCCAAGTGAGCTCTCCATGGAGTATCAGCTCTGCCGTTCAATTTGTCCCTCTGCAAAATCTTAACAAAAGTTTTATAAATCAACTTACCGTTTATATCTTTAAAGGAAAACACAGAAGAGATCTCATTTTTTAAAAAGGGCCCAATGCAGTCCTTAAAATCTGGGGAAATATTTACTGTAGGGAAAGCATCATTCTCATCCGGTGCAACAGAGCCATCACAATAAAGATGTAACAAAGTCCTCTCACTAGCAGTGAGGGCTTCTCTCAACTTACTAAGCAGAAGGGCAATGACACGAGTCGAATGCACATCCAGTCTGGAAGCAAGAGAAGCTGCATCGTCCAAGCCTGCTCCTGCAAGCTGGACTACATGTCCCAGATTCACCACCTTAGACATACAGAACCGCCTGAGTAGAGTTGGCCCCACCTTACAAACTGTACTGAACCGCGACCCATAGACGACCGGTTCCTGTAGCAGCCAGAACAGTGAGCTGTGGTGTCCCAGCCTCCTCTTCAAGATCATATTCCACACTTTGAATAGTCCACGGTAGAAAGCAGGAAGTTCTTTAATGTTAGGCTGCTTTAAGTCCATCAAAAACAACGATTTGTTGAGTCCAACTCCACCTAACCGATTCAGGATAGCGCAAGCCAACGGCCTCCACACCAAATCAGTTGGACCACACAGAAACCTCTGTATGAACTGGAGCCGGAAAGCAGCCCCCCTGCTGCTGAGGTGGATCAGGCCCTGTCCTCCATCGTCCTTAGGCAAGTACAGCACACTCTGCGGCACCCAGTGCAATTTGTCCCAGAAAAAGTCCACAAGGAGAGCCTGGATCTTCGACAGTAGGTCAGGTGGGGGGTCAACACATAACAAGCGATGCCATAACGTGGACGAAACCAAATTATTAACCACTAACACTCTGCCTCTGTAAGACATCTTTGCCAGAATCCATTTCCACCGGGTCAAACGACCCTTCACCTTATCCAGAACATTTCCCCAGTTTTTTAAGCCAAAAGATTGATCGCCCAGAAAAACTCCTAAATATTTAAGACCCCCCTTCTTCCAAATTAACCCCCCAGGCAGTGTCAGTTTCCCCAGGTCGCCACCAACACACAGAGCTTCACTTTTGTCCCAGTTAACTTTGGCTGAGGACAAGGTGCCAAACTGAGCTACATCTCTCACCAACATGTCAATGTCCTTCTGAGCATTCACCAGGATGATAAGGTCATCTGCATAGGCCGACAGCTTCAAAGGTACATTGCAACCCGGAATGACCAAACCCTGAAGGTCACGTCTGAGTTTATGCAGCAATGGTTCGAAAGCTAAAGAATATAACATGCCAGAGAGGGCACACCCTTGCCTAATTCCCCTTTGGACCTGAAAGGGAGCGCTTAAACCACCATTAATCTTTAGTACGCTAAAGAACCTTAACTTTGTCAATAAGACCAGTACCAAAGCCAAAAGCACTCAAAGTGAGCCATAGGTAATCATGTTCAACACGATCAAAGGCTTTTTCTTGATCAATAGATATGATCCCAGCTTTCAAGCCGTAGATCTTGCAGATTTCTAAAAAGTCTTGAATCAAGACAATATTGTCAGAAATCAATCTGCCTGGTACACAATAAGTCTGATCAAAATTAATCACTTTCTCCATCACTTTGCTCAGCCTTGTCGCCAACACTTTAGAGAGGAGTTTGTAATCTGAGCAAAGCAGTGAAACAGGTCTCCAGTTTTTTATAAACTGCAGGTCACCTTTCTTGGGCAGCAAAGTAAGGACAGCCCTTCTGCAGCTGAGTGGCAAACGCCCTTTAGCAAGACTGTCACTCAGTACTGCCAGCAGGTCCTCCCCCACTACTGCCCAGAGAGACTTGTAGAAATCTGCAGGTAGACCATCCATACCAGGGGCTTTCCCACTCTGCATGCTCTGCAGAGCTGCGTAGAGTTCGTCAGAGGACAGAGCTGCTTCCAGCTCTATGTTGCTCTGCTGCTCCACCTGAGGAAGACCAGTGTAGAAGCTCTGTGACACTGCCTGCTCCTCTCTGTGCTCGCATTTAAACAGGTTGCTGTAAAAAGGGACGGCGTGTTTACGAATAGCTGCGTGATCAGTCAGCATCTGCCCAGTGTTGTCTTTCAGACTGTGGATTAACCTTTTTTGTCCATTTTTACGCTCCAGACCAAAGAAAAAATGAGATGGAACATCCATGTGGGCTACGTGCTGAAAACGGGACCTAACAAGAGCCCCCTGAGCTGAGACACCCAGCAAGCTGGCTAAAACAGACTTTTTAGTTTCAAGTCTCTGAGTGTGGCGTTGGTCTCCTGTGGCTTCAAATAGGTCTCTGAGCTCCTCCACCTCAGACTCCAGAGCCCTAACTGAACCCTCCAAAGCTCTCGTGACATTCTGCGTGTACTGCTGACAAAACTGTCGAATCAGAACTTTACCAAAATCCCACCATTGTTGTAAAGAGATAAAATCTGATTTTTTGTTCTGATGGTTTTTCCAAAAAAAAACAAATGTATCTTTAAAATGCTTATCCTCCAATAGAGCTGTGTTGAAATGCCAATAAGCACTATTGGCTTTTACACACCTTATAGATACAGAGACCATTACAAGTGAGTGATCAGAAAAACCAACTGGGCTGATTAAACACCCTTTAAAAATGTTTAAGTGATGTTTAAAACAATAAAAACGATCGAGTCTGGCCATAGACAGTAAGTTGTCTTTAGCGTGAGTCCAGGTGTACTGTCGCTGTTCACCATGTAAAACTCTCCACACATCACACAGCTCTTGGCCTTTTAGAAGCTGAATAAGGCGTGTGCGAGAGGCGGCATGAGGTTCTGCATGGTTCCTATCTAACCTGCTGTCCTCAGTACAATTAAAATCACCCCTAATAAATAAATATTCCTCACTACTACATTTTCCAATAGCTTTATTCAAGGCGTCAAGGAACATGACCCTCTCCACTCCCACAACTGGAGCGTAGATCGTAATAAAAACCATTTTTACCTTCTCATACACGGCTCTTACTTTCAACACGCGGCCTTCTATGACCTCCTCAGTTTCTATAGATTGAGGAATAAAATTCTTTGCAAAGAGAATCCCAACCCCACCACTGCTACTAGTCTTATGGCTTAAGAAGGATTCACCAGCCCATTCTCTCCTCCAGTCTGCCTCATTATCAGCAGTACTGTGTGTTTCCTGTACAAAAATAACATCTAGCTTTTTTAGAGAGCATAACTTAAAAAGAGAAGCCCTCTTCCCATCATCCCTTGCCCCATTTAAATTTAGGCTGCCTATACGTATGTCCCCCATAACATAGAGATGTAATAATACCACAGAAACAAAAGAGCCAAACAACAGAAGAAAAGAATGAGTCTGAAATTCATTCATCATCCTCTAACTGTTTTTTAACCTTTTGTACAAATTTCTTAATACGATAGGTTTCCTGGTCAGTGAAAGCTTTCTCTCCCAGGACTCCAGGAGTTCTCAGAAAAAACGTCACTGAGTCAAGAAAGAGCTGCAAATCAGGAAACGCTTTGTCCACTTTAACATTTTTAGCTCCCTTGGTGTCCTGTAAAAAACTCTTGATACTTGTTAAAGAGTAGCCACTCTTCTTGTGAGTCCAGGTCTGTGAGGGGGCCAGAGACTCCACATCACTCTCTTCATCACCTTCACTTTCACCTGACTGCTGACACTCACTAGGGGGAACAACTTTCTTTACCTTACTAGCGGACTGGCACTCTTCATTTGGTTTTCTCTTTTTAGTTTCATTGGAAAACTCCTTGTCCACAAGCATCTCAGCTTCCTCCTCCAGTGAAAATCTTACCTGCTCTGTTTCATACTGTGTGGAAATGTTGTCGGTGTGGGACTGTTCACTGGCTCCTACCACTGAATCCGAGAAAACAGCTTCAGAACAAGCAGCACCCAAGTCCCTGGTATCCAGACTAGGATCTACCGGGCCATCAGAAACTTCTTCATCAGTGCTTGACTTAGCAGAAACTTCAGGAGCCGGGGCAGCATTAGCAGAAGTGGCTGCCTCCTGATGCCCCGCCTGCGTTTCCTGTGTGTTCCCCTCCTGTGAACTGAGGATGTTCATGTTCTAAGACTGCAGATGGAGTCCCACTGTTCTTGGCCTTAATATCCTGTTTCTGTGGGCAGGATCGGACAATATGACCCTCCATTCCACAACCAAAGCACTTCATTCTCTCTGAAGAAACATAAACGGTATAATCAAAATCATCCACTCTAAACTTCAATATTAGATTAAGCTCCTCAGTGTTATTTTTCAATACCATAAAGACCTGTCTTCTAAAGGAAACGACATGCTTTAGATGCGGTGATTTGCAGCCCAAAGGGATCAGTTTAATTGGTGACATTAGGTGTCCGTGTCTCGCAAGTTCTCTCTCTAGTGCTTCATTACTGAGAAACGGAGGAACTTGGGACAATATTATCTTTTTGGCCGGGTTTACTAACGGCACTACCTGAACAAAGGTGTCCTAAATGACCACACCCTGTTCTACCATGACGTTGACTTTGTCAACGCTATCCAGAAAAATCACGACTCCGTTGTTCATTCTGGAAGCAGATTTCACGCTGTCATAGCCGACAATTTCTCCGATCGCCAGACTGCAGTCTTCCACGGAGCAATTAAAAGCTGGACAAAGCTTAACCCCGTGTCGGCGTGTGAGCTTCGCCAACCCCGCATCCGCAACTCCGTGAGCCGGCATGACGCCGGTAAAAACCGGGCGTCACCGCTCAGGAGACTAGCCTCCACAAGAAATACAAACAGCAAAACGAACAACGAACAAACCAAACAGAACAAACAAACACACAATTAACAGAAAAAAGATGGAAATCACTTTCTCGCTGCAACGCGCACCCACTCTCACAGTCCTCGACTCCCAGCACGCACTCACAGAGAAAGAGAGAGAGAGAGAGAGAGAGATAGAGAGAGAGAGAGAGAGAGATAGAAACAAATCCAAAAGAATTATGTTTTATGTCATTTAAGCTTTTTCTCCCTGTTGCATTATGCAGATGCACTACACATCTATGAAAGTAACATTCTACTGCATTCCAATCTGGATTTTTTCCTGATAGGCTGTAGGCCTACACAAAGTTTTTTTTTTACAAAAATGTGAATAAGGCTGGTGTCTCTCCAAGACTGCACTGTGGCTTAGCCGGATTTAAAGCAGTCAATGGTCATTAGCTATAACGCTTACTCTTTTTAAATTTGATTCAACAGGTCCTGTGACTGAGGTCAAGACTGACATTTATGTGACAAGCTTTGGGCCTGTCTCAGATGTTGAAATGGTACGTGTCCTTGCTAAGAATGACAGTCATTGTAAGAGTTGCTAAAGCAATCCACCATCCCGTTTTTTGGGTGGAAAACAATGTGTTTGGCATAATGCTGACCTTGCACTCTTTGTGCTTTTTCGTCTCTCTTGCCAAAGGAATACACAATGGACGTGTTCTTTCGCCAGACGTGGGTGGATCGGAGGCTGATGTACGAGGGCCCGATAGAGATCTTGAGGCTGAACAACCTCATGGTGACTAAAGTCTGGACGCCAGATACATTTTTCCGGAATGGCAAGAGGTCAGTGGCTCACAACATGACAGCCCCCAACAAGCTCTTCCGCATCATGAAGAATGGCACCATCCTCTACACCATGAGGTACTGCTTTCTAATCCCCACCACACAGTCTGATAGATTCTTGACCCAGCTTATGTCCATCCAATTTTGCCCATTAACATAGAGCCAAAGAAGTCGAAGACTTTTCATAAAGACTGAGCAAATCTTCTCTGTTTTGTATCAGGCTGACCATTAGTGCAGAGTGCCCCATGAGGCTTGTTGATTTCCCCATGGATGGGCATGCATGTCCCCTCAAGTTTGGAAGCTGTAAGTCAAGTGCTCTAACCACACAATGTCACACTACTGTGTAAAAGAAAAAAATGCTCCAAAATGAATAAATTACAGTATCTCGTGGGCATCAAAGTTGCAATAATCATACACCTGCTTACTGAGATCAAACAGAAAATGTAAAGCTGCCAAACGTGAAAACACAAATAGTTAGATTACCCCATTTCATCTTGGAACTTTACATGCTATATGTTTGCAAATATTTATAAAGACGTAGGAGGAGAGCTTTGTTTCCCTTACATCAGCACTTTCCAACTTAAAAGTGTCAAATAAGGCTTTAGTATTTTATGTCAGCTGCAGTTAGTAATGCTCAGGCATAAAAAAGGGATAATAACACTAAAAATGTGTCATGGTTTTGGGAAAATGGTGACCATTTTATCACTGTTCATTGTGTCTCATGTGCTGTCACTTGCTGTCAGATTTGGTCCCTAATGCTGATCATTTTCCTCCTTTCGCCAAACTGTATTTCTCCGACGGTGTCTCCACACTCAATAGTAAATTATAACATGCTAGTGTGACCTCTTTACATTTTCTCCATTTGAGGTATGAAAGGGTTCATGAAGATCAACATTATAGCTGAGACACATTCTCTCTCTCTCTCTCTGGGCCTGCTCTGTTGGTGCTTTCTCCTTATGACACCATTTTTCCTAATAACCTCACTTCTTTCTGATGAAGAATTAATCAAATTCCTTTTGATACTTGTCAGTTTAATCTATTGGAGTTTTGGTGCACATAAAAAATGATCTGTCTCTCTTTATTCCGCGAAAATAAAAACAAAGACAGATTAAACGCAGTGATACCAGAAGCAACACTTCTGAGGAGGACAGCGGGAGGGGGACAATTATCTTTTTTTTATCCTAAATTGAGGTAAGGGAGTCATGTCTCCCCTTCTCGCCTGTGACAGCTGCCTATTAGACATAGAAACTAACTATTATACAATTTATTCTAAGCACAGTTTAAAAGTAAGTATACTAGATAATCAGAAAACTACCAGTCCCTCTGGGGAAAATAATTAAATACAAAGTAAATGTTTGGGTAGAGTTTACAGAAAAATGGATTAAGAATAATTTCTGCATACAATCATCTTTAGATTCCGAATAGTTAAATACCATAGTGATTGGATATAGATTAAATAGGAAATACAGTACTGAAACTTGGTAAAACTATCAAGATGCCAAGATAGAAGCAACTGGTGTTAATCTCTTTCAATCTTGTAGTCAATTTTGAAAGCGATGAAAGGAAAAAGTAATTACTTTGCTCCAACAGCACAAGACGTTGGCTAATATATCCTCAGTTTGTTGGTCATCGTCAGATAAAAACTTGATGAACTCTACTGCCTACTTATTTAAGGTAAACTTTAGGGATGTAAATCCTGTTATTTAACTGTTCCCAGACTGTTTTCTTATTGAGCAGCTGTACCCACACTCACATTTGTTTTTGCAGATAAGATAACCCCCCCCTCCTCACCTTACATTTCACAGTCTGTGCCTCCTGGTGTCCTTTCACAGGAGATTTATTTTATGTTCCAAAACAGGTGGCAGCGAGCAGGTTTCAGCTCTGTATTGATTCACTTTTGGGCATGCTTGCCATAATGTTTTTATCCATTATGGTGAAAAGAACTTCACGGTCATGTGATTGGAGTTATGAAGAAGCAATGAATTTTTTAGGACAATCTTATTTTTGATTACGTTCGCACTAAATATACATTTTTAAAAATCTGATCATTTAGAAAATAGCACATTTGACAAAACAACAGCCAGTCTGATATATATGAGACTCACAAACTTTTAATATATTTATGTAACTGGAAAAGAGTTTGAATCTTTTTGTCTTATCTATATCATATATTTCTTTAGAAAAGTTTTTGAAAAATGCTGCAGCAAAACAAATTTTTGTATTTGCATCAGCTCAGAATCGGCTCAGAATGCATCTTTTTCCTCCCTTTATTCGTGAAACGGACTGAGCAATAAAACAAAAGAAAATAAAATAAAAAAAAGCTGCTGAGAAAGAAGTGACTAGATGTGGTTTCGAAACAATGAGATGCTTCATTCTTCATGGTGAACAATGAAGCCCTAATTCAGCACTGGTGTTCTTACCAGCGTCAATGGTCAGCAGAAATTACTCAAATAAAGACGCCTCTTGCACAGAGCAGCTTTGTCTTATCAGGAAAGGAGCAGCAGTTTCAAGATTACATCTGTGGGAGAAAGGAAAAGAGAAGAGTTTGCCTTTACGGCCAGCCAGTCTACTGTCAATTACCCAGTATGGTGACTTTGGGGAGGACAAATTCACATTTCCCAGCTATTGTCATTATCTCTTCCCCCTCCTCTCACCATCGTCCCCATCTTGTTCTGCTGCCACCAGCCTCCAGTCAGGAAGAAGCAACCATGGATCTGATGAAGCCTAAAGCAAAGGAAAGGTCAGAATCCTTTCCTCTGTCTCAGGACAGCACAGACCTATGCAGCTCTTTTCCATAGCTGGTGTGTGTTTATATGCGTTTGTGGGCTAATTTTCTCACTGCATGCCCTTCCTTTGATGTGTTTCTTAGTCCTTTTTTTTCACTCTCCCTCTCCCCGGCTGCTTTTCTGCCCATCCATCTGGACTTGTGTGCATAGGCACTGTGTTCCACTCCATGACACACCCGAGTCATTTCATTTGTCAGATCAGTTGGTATCCTGCCAATGTGGGGTCCCACAGGGAGTGGCAGGCAAAGACAACTGGCATTTTGTTGTGCATTCACAGACGGGTCCATTTCTCCATTGTTCAATCAGCAATAGACACTGAGAAAGCAACAGGGGCAAATAAGAGAATTTCTTAATATTTGGCGTATCCCAAAGCCACACACACACACACACACACACACAAAAGGGAACTTTTTGGAAGGATTTTCTTTATTTAATTTTATTTTGCAAGAATATTTTTTTAGTAAGATTGGACACTAGCAAACATTTCAGGTGGTGCTCATATGATACAAATTTAATTATATTATCAAACTAAAAGATCCTCCTTGGTAAAAGGATAGTGGGGAAATAGTAGTGGGAGGCCTGATGCTGGCAGTGGCCCCCCTAAAAACAGTTAAACCGCTGCATTTTTGCTGATTATATTATGAATTTTGCCCTGGTGGTGAGGATCCACATGCAGGTCAGGGAATGTACACAGGAAACAGGTAACTCAGGAGAGTGAAGGTTCATTACAAAGAGAAAAAACAACAAAAAGCACAGTGGGAACAGATACAAAGCACTGTAACTAACTTTGAGAAAACCAAAAAAACATCAAAACCAAGACACTGACCTGAACAATTGCATAGAAACACTAGACAAAAGGGTAGCCGGAATTGAGACAAGAATCCGGACAGAACTGAATGAAGTGAAGTTAGCAGAGAGAATATAGGAAAACACACAAAACTGGGGACAAAAAGGGGACCACAACAAAACAGGAAGCCAGGAGAATGTAAAAACTAACCGAGAAAATAGACCAGAACAACATAACCAAAACCCAGAGAACAGAATGGTATTTCACTCCAAATCTTCTTGGAGTTGAAGTGAGGCATCATCCTCAATTTAAAGATTGAAAGTACAATTAAACATTTAGTACCTCTGCTAGCTTGGAAAGACCACCTGATTTCAATGCTCCTCAGTCTTTTTAATAGGTTATTTTCGAGAGAGGGCAGTCCAATTAGCTGCTTGAAATGGGACCGCAGCGCTTTTTCTTAAATGTTAAAAAAAAAAAACATGACGTGTATCTTCCGGAATTGAGAAAAACTAGCTACTATGGAAAGAAATGCCAAAATAAAGGGGACAAACTTGCCCGTAATAGAATGTAAAAAGGGGAGTATGGCAAGAAACACTAAACAACTCATGTTATTACGTTTGCTACATGGTATTTTTATACATTTTTTATGGAATGACACAATTCCATGCAAAATTAGGTCTTATTGAAATATGTAATGATCGTGAGCCACGTACAGTACTTTTACATTTTTTAAACCTTACTGTGGTCCTTAATACCTTTGGTTCTTTGCATAGTCTGTGGATTAAAGTAATCAAACATCCCTTCCTACATCTTTACATTATGATATTTTTTGTGAGCAACATGAAGATGGCAAACTTTTTTTTAATGACAGTAATAATGTGATAATGTGTGGATGGAGTGATGTTTAAGGGAAACATAATTCATTGTTGATTTGAGTCTTCTCAGACATGTCTCTAGAAATCACTGTATGCACATACACAAGCTAAAATGATAAATACAATAAAGTCAGAAAAGTGCAGGTTATTCCCTCTCTCATGTTTAAAAAAAAGAACAGCCTTCCTGATTTTGCTGTTCTGTTGCTATCAGGGCTGCAATGGCTCTGTTATTTTGTCCACCAGTGACCTTATGCTTTCTACAGTTGAAATGGTTCAAGGTTCATTGTCCTATCTCTTCTGTTCTGTTCTAGACATCTGCTCTTCAACTCATCTGCAATCAGTGTCTTATTCCAGCTATTAACTTGGAAGCTGTTTATATATTCCAAAGTTATGCACCAATATAGATCTGAATAAGTGAGAGCCACCAGCAGAAATCTTTCCTGTTGCACTGTATCCAAACCAGCATAAAAGATGTAGGGAATTTTCAGAGAAAAATAATGAAAATGACGAGAAGATACTAAGAAAGACACAACATGGCACTTTTAAATGGTACTAGTACAGTGCCAATTAAAATAAAAAAGATGGGACAATCTATGTCTAAACAACAGATTGTTTATAATATAATAATATAAATGTGTATATATTGGAAAAACAATATACAAGAATAAAAAATAGAGACAATATGAAACATTGTGGTTATGCTGTTTTCCCACAGATGCCTACCCTAAAACAGAGATGATCTATACTTGGACAAAAGGGCCCCAGCATTCAGTGGAAGTTCCTCCTGAGTCTTCCAGTCTCGTTCAGTATGATCTTATTGGTCAGACGGTCTCCAGTGAAACAATTAAATCCATCACAGGTCAGTCTTCATCATTGTTTCAATATTTCATGTTTTCTGCAGCATGTTCTTGGTAGTTCCTTGGGACAAACATGACAGTCAGTCTGACTTGCGCAGAACAGCAGCCTCATGAAGTAAACATCATGCATTGAGTCATTTCAGAAGGCCTGTTAGTTGAGGTGAAAGCAGAAGGAAGCTGTTAGATTTTTAAAGTAGAAAAAGGAAAGATTTACCCGAAAATCTGTCAGCATGCAAAACCGGATTCCATGTTAATGAAACTAATTCATTTCTCTCAATCCTTTAGGTGAATATGTGGTGATGACAGTGTACTTCCACTTGAAACGTAAAATGGGCTACTTCATGATTCAGACGTATATCCCCTGCATAATGACAGTAATCCTCTCCCAAGTGTCCTTCTGGATAAATAAAGAATCAGTCCCGGCTCGCACGGTTTTTGGTATGTAGACTTTACGCACTCGTCACGCCTCTCCACTACTCCCTGTCTACATATTTGATGTTCGCTTGATAGCAGAATGTCTCACAGCAATGACTTGATTTGTACTGGGATAATAACGTAGCTCTTCTTCTTAAACTTGATGTAAAGATCTGAAATTAATTTGAAACCTTGATCTTCCTTTTTATTCAACCTTGTTGAGAACAGTTTCATCAAAATACTATGTGAAGCTCTTCAAAATTGAACAAACATGTTTTTGGAATAGTTGGAATACTGCACTGTAGATTTATATGTTGTGGAACATGAAGATAAATGTCCTCAATGATTACTCATTTTGGGCAAGTTTTCAATGTGTTACCTGACGAGTTAAAGTAACACTCGTGTTGGGATTGGGGATATTTCTAGTGGCAAAGTCGTAGAATGCACCCAACGGGAAGCCAACTGACCCCCCAAAGTACAATGTTTGATTTTAGCTTTATCTGTCTTTAGTTTGACTTCCTTTTTCTGTACTGACTAAATGGTTAAAGTTTACAAAGACAAATACTTGAATAATACATGTCCTTAGTAGTTAGAGAAGTTAGACTTGAAAAGGAGTTAACTAAGACGAGGTAAAATAAGTACACGGTTAGAAAAACATAAAGGGAGGGTGCGTGTCCTGATCAACCAGCTGCATCTGCTTGAGCAGGGTTGAGTTTAACAGTCCCATTTGCCAAATGTCTGTACTTTGTATTGACAGCACTGATTGTTCATACTGTTAATGATCTTTTTAAAAAATAGCTGAAATGTTGGTACATAATGTTGAACATATAAAAAAAGCTTTGACACAATTACATCTAGATGAATCCAGTTTTCAAAAACTACGAAACTATAAAGAGACATCATACAAACATAAACACTTATCTTACCTAAAAAGTATGGATGTCAGTTTTGTCCCGTGATGCATCGTGTTCAACAAAAACAAAAATTAGCACACTTTCCCTTTAGTTGTAATAGATGTCATGTTTTTTGGTTCATAATGAGCTCCAGAACTGAGTGAAACTGTTTAAATATCACAAAAGCCATATTCTAAAGTCCTACCTAATAAGTCGCATGCATTCATCCCAAGTAAATTTGATGTTGCTAGTTTCAGGGTTAGGTTAGGGTTAGGGTTGCACCAAGTTTTTTGCTGAGTAAAAATGACAAAGTATGACCCTTTGTGTGAAAGCATCTTGTGTTAAGGGCTGCTTTTCCACAGTGGTAGAACATACACTATATTGCCAAAAGTATTTGCTCACCTGCCTTGACTCACATATGAGCTTAAGTGACATCCCGTTCCTAATCCATAGGGTTCAATATGACGTCGGTCCACCCTTTGCAGCTAGCTTCAACTCTTCTGGGAAGGCTGTCCACAAGGTTTAGGAGTGTGTTTATGGGAATTTTTGACCATTCTTCCAGAAGCGCATTTGTGAGGTCGCACACTGATGTTGGACGAGAAGGCCTGGCTCTCAGTCTCCGCTCTAATTCATCCCAAAGGTGTTCTATCGGGTTGAGGTCAGGACTCTGTGCAGGCCAGTCAAGTTCATCCACACCAGACTCTGTCATCCATGTCTTTATGGACCTTGCTTTGTGCACTGGTGCACAGTCATGTTGGAAGAGGAAGGGGCCAGCTCCAAACTGTTCCCACAAAGTTGGGAGCATGGAATTGTCCAAAATGTCTTGGTATGCTGAAGCATTCAGAGTTCCTTTCACTGGAACTAAGGGGCCAAGCCCAGCTCCTGAAAAACAACCCCACACCATAATCCCCCCTCCACCAAACTTTACACTTGGCACAATGCAGTCAGACAAGTACCGTTCTCCTGGCAACCGCCAAACCCAGACCCGTCCATCAGATTGCCAGATGGAGAAGCGCGATTCGTCACTCCAGAGAACGCGTCTCCACTGCTCTAGAGTCCAGTGGCGGCGTGCTTTACACCACCGCATCCGACGCTTTGCATTGCACTTGGTGATGTATGGCTTGGATGCAGCTGCTCGACCATGGAAACCCATTCCATGAAGCTCTCTGCGCACTGTTCTTGAGCTAATCTGAAGGCCACATGAAGTTTGGAGGTCTGTAGTGATTGACTCTGCAGAAAGTTGGCGACCTCTTCGCACTATGCGCGTCAGCATCCGCTGACCCCGCTCCGTCAGTTTACGTGGCCTACCACTTCGTGGCTGAGTTGCTGTCGTTCCCAAACACTTCCATTTTCTTATAATACAGCTGACAGTTGACTGTGGAATATTTAGGAGCGAGGAAATTTCACGACTGGATTTGTTGCACAGGTGGCATCCTATCACAGTTCCACGCTGGAATTCACTGAGCTCCTGAGAGCGACCCATTCTTTCACAAATGTTTGTAAAAACAGTCTGCATGCCTAGGTGCTTGAATTTATACACCTGTGGCCATGGAAGTGATTGGAACACCTGATTCCGATAATTTGGATGGGTGAGCAAATACTTTTGGCAATATAGTGTATCTGAAAGTCCAGCCCCAAAGCGTCCCCCGTAATAGGCATCACAGTAATAGTTAGTCGAGGCTCTGAGGCAGCAGATTTCTGATGTTATCCATTGTATTTCAGTGTAAATTTTCTGGCTCTTTGGGGTAGCATGGGAAGAGGCTGTTCAAATTTGTCCTTCTTCCCTCCAGCTGCAGTATATTTTGACTTCCTGCCTCAGTGACACAGCCACGTTGACCAGTTATGAGGGCCAAGGAAGCGATTTGGCTGCAAAACAAACAGAACCAAACTTTGAACCGAACTACAGTTACATTTATACATTTAGCAGACGCTTTTATCAAAAGCGACTCACAAAAATTGGGAGAGAACTAATCAAATATGGGATTCCAGTGGGACATCTGGTACATTCCTGTTCAAGTTTCAGATGCTGCTTCAGTGTTCATAGACGGCATCAAAGTTTTAGATTATGTTTACAACTGCTTCACATAAGAATCTGCTATAATTAGCCTTTTCCCTTTAGCTGCAGTTCACCTGTCAATGCCAAACACTTGCTTTTGATATGGCGGTCACGTATACGCACAGAGGAAATGTGTTTCTGTTGTGCAAGGACTCTGCAGCACGGAGTGTTCCCGATCTACGACTAAAGGGGATTTTCTCAAAGTCACGTTATTGCCATTGGTTAATAATGCAAAGGACAAACTATGAGCTACAGGCTTAACACTTAACCTTCTGTCATTGTTCGTTCCATGAATGACCTTGCAAGCCAGCCTGTTGTTTTTTAATTTTGTGGTCACTTTTCTTATTGAACCGCGACAACTAAATGAGGGCCATATGACATTTAGTCATGGGGAGAGATTGTGTATGTAAGCTTTAGTCAAAATCTCCACTAGCTCTATGATATATTACCTCTTTTTATTGTTCCTGTTTACACAGTCGCAAGAGTTATTGCTGTGGAATGAGAGATACGGTTGACACAACTTTAAGCTGTTGGCTTAATATCTTTTGATGCAAGAATGGTATTTGGTGAAAAAGCTTGCATGCCTGAAAAATGAATCCCATTCTATGTTGCATTTGTTTCCCCCGCAGTGATGTCATAAGGTATTTCTGTTGTCTTTCCTTTACTTAACTACTTCACGTTGTCTTTATTATACCTTTTTATGCACTTATTTTGTGCTGTCAGTTATCACTAACTCTGAAAAGGGAGGCATTTTGAGACTTTATAAAATAAGCCTGTGCAGCTTTTATAGACAGAAACTCTCATTGACTGCGTTAAAAAAAGTGCTCACATGAGAGGTTATAAGAGGAACTGGATGTGAAGAGTAAAATGGCAGTTGTTAACAGTATTGTAAAGTAAGAGCCTTTTTCTTCATTCATAAATTTGGTCACTTGGCTTCCATTGGAGATAAAGCGCATTTCCATAGTAACACCCAAGGGTTTTCAACCCACAAAGAGGATTAGAGTTTGTGGCAATCTTTTACAATTTCCCTTGTATTTTACATTGTTCTATGTGGGTGAAAAATCCCCTAAACTGGGATATACTTCAATACGTTTTTCAGTGGCTTCTAGGAAGCTTAACAGTTTGAGATTTTGGTCAGCCATTTCTTTTTCATTTGGTAAACTGCCCAACTCAGCATTTTGTTATTGCTTTTGAAAATAGGTAATTACAAACCTTTGTGCTCTTGGTTCATTCTCCTCTGATCAGTTTTTGGATCAAATACTTGTTTTGGATGTATTACGTAGTAAAAGATCCAAGTTAACAGCACTTGTCATCTGCTGGATGTGTAAATAGAGAACTGTTTAAAATGGAAGGTCCCTCCAAGTGACCAAAATCAAATCTATTACCACTTTTATACACATCTTTAGTTTCAGATAGCTAACTGTATGGTCCATTATCTCTCTTCATTAATTTAATGAAATATGCAGATGAGAGCAACAATTCATGTCTAGGTAATTGAACACTCCTTTTATATTGAGTATTGTGTTGAAATTAAGTCAATGTGTGGGGAAGCTGCAGTTTCTTTTGACAGGCACATAGATTTTGTTGGTGTTATTCTGTTAAGATGCAAGATGTAATATTGGATCTTTTTCCACGATAAATAACTGACCAAGAGGAACAAATTCAGTGTATTTAACTATGTTTATTTATTATTTTTTTAACTTTTGTGGAAATTCTTGTGTCTTAGCCCAGATGAGCTTGACAAATTCTGCATTATTACAATTTCTAAACACAAAGCATTCAATGCAATTTTTCCCGCAATACAGCTGATATATTTTCTTTTTTCTTTTTCTCAAACCATCAAGGCATTACTACCGTCCTGACCATGACAACGCTCAGTATCAGTGCTCGCCACTCCCTCCCGAAGGTCTCCTACGCCACTGCAATGGACTGGTTCATTGCTGTGTGCTTCGCCTTTGTCTTCTCTGCTCTTATTGAGTTTGCTGCCGTCAACTACTTCACCAATGCACAGATTGAGCGGGCCAAAAAGAAGCCAGCCAAATGTCCCCCGGTGCCTCAAACCACACCAGTGAAGGTGAAGGACACAGAGGAAATGCTGCAGGTGATTTTTGTTTCTCCCAGGGTGGCTCAATAGTTTGGTTGCATTTCCCTTGAGGAAGTCAGACACAGCATGTCCTGACCTGAAACATAGACTTCACAGGGAACCTATACCAGAATTTTTTAAGTTTGTGTTTTGCAACTTGAAACTATTACTATTCAGAACTGTGACAGATTTGAATTAAACATTGTTGAGAATTAGAAGGGTGGTATTTCTTAGTGTTTCTCTGTCTAGATTAATAAACTGACATAATTAAATGTTTTTGGGTCAGTATGTTAAGCTGTTTCAGAGCTCACACTCTCAGTCAGATATGACGAATGTCTCATAAAAAACAGTTTTCACCTTGCTGTAGGAATGGACTCTCCATCCCATTTTCCAGCTCAAGAAGAAATCAGCGCATACTTAATCTCGCGGAACTGACAACAATAAATTCACAGACCCGCTGATTGTTGTAGCTGACAAAACCCAACTATGTAGTAGTGACTTTTCACCCTAACTGCTTTAAGTTGCCCCCTTCAGTCCAAATCCCAATGTGGCGTAATCATGCTTGAATGCAATATAGTGACAACGGCATTTCAGTGGATTAGCTGGTTGCCATGGCAACATAGCCCTGGTACATCTGTATATGTTTCACACAGGCTATTACACTGGGGAGGAAATTATGCTCTTTTCCTCAAGAGCAGGTCCCCTTAGCAGAGAGCTTGGAACATGGGTCGTGGTGTGTTTGATGGTTATCCTTGGCCTTTTCCCTTTTTTGATGAAAAAACAATTCCACTACGTACACACACATACACGTACACATAAACATACAGACACACACACATACATATATACATACACTTCAGCTTGTCATGGGACACAATGATATTGGATCCTTTCAATTTCAGGGTGGTAGAGAGTGTGTGTGTGTGTGTGTCAGTGGTGGATTATTTCTGCAAATGCCTCGGTACAAGAATCACACTCTCCCTGCTTGAAAACATCAACTCTCAAAGGATAAGCTTTTTTGATGCTAGACTGCATTACAACTATGATGCAGCGCTACCTACTTTCAGTCTTAAGCTGCATGAAATGAGGGAAATCCTCGGTAAGTGACATCTGTATTGCAACGACTTAGCGTTCCGCTCCCAGATGGAGGCCATCTGTGTCTGGAGGACCATAATCAATATGACAACATCGATGTCCTCTGACGCACCTTTCAGTATCTTCCCTGCAAATTCCTTCTAACGTAAAGCAGATATGACACAATTTTTTTGTTCTTTAAATGTCACTTCTGCTGTTTGTTTGGTTTGGTTTAACATTTTTTGGGTTAAATAGGATTTATAATTTTGTAATTAAGTAATGTTCAGAATAGGGTGGCATGGTGGTGTGATGCTTAGCACCGTCGCCTCACAGCAAGAAGGTTCTGGGTTTGAGTCCCGGGTCCCCCAGGACCTTTCTGTGTGGAGTTTGCATGTTCTCCTTGTGTCTGCGTGGGTTCTCTCCGGGTTCTCCGGCTTCCTCCCACAGTCCTTCATGTTAGGTTGATTGGACATCCCAAATTGCCCTTAGGAGTGAATGTGAGTGTGCGTGGTTGTATGTCTTGTGTGCCTCTCACCCATTGACCACTGGGATAGGCTCCAGTTCTCCCTGCGACACCATTAGGGAATAACTGGTAATGATAATGGAAGGATGGACCCTCAGAATCAAACTCCAAAGACAACTTTTTGAAGTTATACAGTAGATACCTTTCAAGGTATAAGGAAAACTATCAGTACCATGACAGAGGCTAGTTATTTAACTTATTAGCTCCTACCACTCCTATATAACTTAGAGAAAGCAAAAATGCACACCAAATAAAAGCGTGTGTCTCTGGAGGGTAAAGGAAAAACATGCACATTTGGAGCTATTTTTATTCCGGCTAAATAATATTTCAGATTGGGACTTTCTGTATTGTATTTATAGTTGTGTGATGCACCACATCATGTATATTGTAGGGTTATGCATAAAAACTGCAGATAATTTGGTATTACTCTATCCCAATAGAGCCATGATTCTGTGATGTCCGCAGAATTCTGACTGTCATTTGCCAAACTAAGCAAGGGCTTGTCTCACTGAGATGCCCATCTCTGATGCACCAACATGACATCACAGAGAAGGGATGTTGAACTCTGTGAAGATAGAAAGCTAAATGGCCCCACTATTTTCTACAACACTTCAGTTAATCTTCAGATAGAATAAATGCAAGGCAGCAGCATTTTTTCACCCTCTTTGTATATGACTTCATATACTGTAACAACATGTTTAGTTTCAACATGAGGAATTTTTAATAATTTTTGGAAGGATTCATACTGGGTTAAAGAGCATGAAAAATGTGGTTTACATCTTTTATCTCTAATAATCAGGTCTACAACACCATATGGAGATCAATAAGTAATTTTATTCAAATTCAGAAAAGTTCCTCATCACTGCAACTTAAGTATTACTTTTTTTGTCTTCCACAGCATAACCCTGATACCAATGGTTCTTTGAGGAAGCGGATGAATTATGTTTCTCAACAAGAGGCAAGCAGTCAGCAGAGAGCCCAGTCCACCACTAACATCTCAGGACTAGAACGAGGCAGGCCACTAAGACCGTTGGTGACTGGGGCAAATGGCAGCTCCTCCACCCTGTCTCGCTCCAGCCCAAAGTCTGAAAGCCTGCTCAGCTTGGCATCATCTTCTGCCCAGCTGGTGAAGAGCACGCCTCAGGCCGCAGCATTAAAGCCAGAGGTAATGGCAAGCACACCGTGTAAGCATGGCACAAACTCCTCATCCCTGCAGCATCTGCTGGGGCCCAAGCTGGAGCGCATCCAGATGATGGGAAACAAACTGGAGCCAAAGCAAACGCCGTGCTCCCAGCCTACCACTGCTGGTATGGGAGGGACCAGTAAAATTGACAAATATGCACGGATCCTGTTCCCAGTTTCATTTGGTGCATTTAACATGGTCTACTGGGTGGTTTACTTATCCAAGGACACAATGGTGGCCAAAGGTGGCTAGACTTTGAAGACGTTGAAATGGAATATGGGAGTTTTGCACTCAATATATAAACTTTTGCCAAACAGATAAATGTGCTCCCCAAGCATTTCCTTATTCTGGAGAACACATTCTGGATGTTGTTACTTTTTACTCTCTGAAGTCCCAGGCCAGCAAGTGTGGGAACAAATGGAAAAAATTAGAAATACTTGACTCCACACAACATAAGAACACTTGCACACTGGAGTATTCCACTGTTCTCTTTATATTTCTTAATGCCTCCTCTGACTGTAAAGGTCTTCTTCGGCTTCAACTGACTTATGACCTTTGTCACCCTGCAGCCAAGATAACACATGGGATTTTGTCAATTTCCTATTTTTGTACCCTGCACCTGCCGAGATGCTTGGATGTGTGCTACCGTCCTGAAATGATCTGCACCGACAATGTAAATATGTAAATTTATTAGATAACAAAGATTTACTTATATCTAATGGGAAAAATACTTCCATTTGAATCTTAAGACTTACAGCACTGGTATTCCAGCAGATTTGAGGATATGAGCTCATATGATCTGACAGTACTAAACGACTTTTTAATGGGGCAGGGACTTCAAGGATAATTAATGGATTCTTACCAAGTAAGTGTAAAGCTAAAAAAGAGATCTATTTGATCAAGAGGAAAAGTCGTCGAACCAGGCTGAGTTGAGCTTTTACTATGACTTGATCAGTCATAAAAAGCTTCACTTATGCAACCGTAGGTTTTAAGCTTCTTTCCTGCCATAATGGGCTGCAGACAACGGTTGTGTGAGTGATTAAAAATTCACATGAGCAAACAGGGAACAGCATGTAAAGCCATTTGAAGTAGATCACTGGCAGAATAAGAGTAAGCTGGTCATTTACTTAGTTTGTAAACACAAGAGCTGAACATCCATCCGTGGGCCATTTTTACTTGCTTTTTGCGAACATGAGTTATTTCACAGCCGATCTCGGCAAATCTCCTCTGTTTAGTAACCCTGATGAGCCCTGGGACATTCCTAAAATAGTGCTACACTTGAGTTTCAACAAACTGGCTATTATTATGAACTTGATCCACTCCCCATTTCTATATTATTTTCTCAAATAACTTAGGCTTTAGCGAATGCACAATGTAGCTGCTGGTCATTCTATCAGCAGCTGTTCATGTTGCTTTCTAGCTTAGGGATAATCTCATCAACTGTAGCTAAACTTTATTGCCGGTCAGAAGTAGAGCAGCAGCTGTAGCCTGTCATATTTAGATTGGAAAAAAACAGAATTAGGGTAATTCATTTATAGACTTTACATGCTAAGTTTTAGATGTAAAAAACGATTCCATTCTTCAAATGAGGCCACAGTCAGCAGCTGATTAGTTTCGCTTAACACTCACTGACCCAAATATGAATTCTACTGCTTGAAAATCTTGTGAAAGCTGAAAACCCCAAGGTTTAAATGGTGTGATCAATCCTTGCTCCAAAGTAAGAGTGCATACACAGCGAAACTGCACTTGCAACCTTTCCAAAAGTAAAATGGGAAGTAAATGTTAATGGGGTTACCCTACATGTGTGAAACTGTTGAGGTATCCAGGCAGCATCTGCAGTGGGTATGGAAAGCATTCAGACCCCTTGAAATTTGGACTCTTTGTTTCATTGCAGCCATTTGCTTAAATGAAAAAAGTTCATTTTATTTCTCAATAATGTACACTCAGCACCCATCTTGACAGAAACAAAAACAGAAATGTAGAAATGTTTGCCAATATATTAAAAAAGCTAAACTGAAATATCAAATGGTCATAAGTATTCAGACCCTTTGCTGCGACACTCATATTTAACTCACATGCTGTTTATGTATTTGATCCTCCTTGAGATGATTCTGCTCCCTCATTGGAGTCCAGCTGTGTTCAATTAAACTGATTGGACCTGATCTCCATGAATGTGAGACACTATATGGTCATAATCTAGTTGTTTCCATTTGATTCAGGTCTTGTCTAGGAAGCTGCTGGATGTAGGTTTTGTGTGTTGACGTGAGGGTGTAAAACCATCTCATCATCGACGGCTGAAATCAGCTCAAAAAGCGCTTTTTCCTGAAGTCGTAAAGATTAACAAGTTAAAGACAATGTAATAAGCTTACACTGAAGTGTAACTGGCGTCTTCCAAATGTGTGCACTTGGGTACTTTCCATCATAACCTTGTTTGCTTTGAAGAGTTTGTGACCCTCGGATGTCATGAATCTGACTGAGTGATTGAATTTGTGTATGGATAGAAGATACCATTATCCATTTAACATATGTGACAACAGAAAATTGTCCTCCCTGCTGTTGTGTAACTGACTGGTAGAGGTGAAGTAGGGGATTCATCGTCATTGAGCGCTCCATCTGGACAGTGATTGTTTTGCATGTGTAAAGAATACTGCTTCCTAGAAACTAGTGGCTCAACTGCCTATAAATATTTAACAGGGATGACCATAATGGGGGTTATTAGACTTGTATATTTATGTAACAGGAGTTATGCTGCTGTCATTGCAACAAGAAACAAGAGGGCTGATGGACAGATCAAGGTACCTGGCGCCACTAACCTCTCCAAAACGCCGTCATTTGTGAAATTGTTTTTGCTGTCATTCCTTGTTGCTCCACCCAACAAAAACCACATCCCATCAAAACGCACAACATTCGTGTACTAACGAGAACCCTGTCAGCTACAGATTTATCGTCAGTGGTTCTGTGCTGTTCTGTGCACATGATTGATGGCGCATTCAGTAATGCATTGTGGGTATTATGCTGCTTGTGTAAGTATTTTTTTCATGCATTCTAGATGATAAATTGTTTAAAGAACCTCACTTTATGTGGGAAGAGGGAGTAATATCAGAACCTCATTTAATCATCAAAACAGCTTTCTGGAGAAAAAGTTATTCTATACAGTTGGGTAAAATGGGACATTGATTGTGCTACCATGGCACTTTTCAGCCAAACCATGGTGTAACACTCCCTCTAGTGGCTCAACTGGCTAATTTAAAATTTTAACAAACCCATTTAGTAAGAGATGTTCCATTTATTTTTAAATAGATCTTCTTATAACCTATAGAATTGGTAAAGTAACAGGATAATCATCTTCACACAATGTTATGTATTGCACAGGCCATCAGACTGCATGTTATATTGGGCTGAATAAAAAGAAAACAAAATTATGACAATGAAAAAGTTTTTGTCAAATAATGTTTCATATCTACTACACAGGCAACCTAAAGTCTAAAATGTCCTTACCAATGCAAAAAACCACAATTTTAAGTCAAATTCTGCATTCAAACTCCCAAATGACTAAAGATTTTGCACACAGCACCCCTTTTTTTAATCTTAATGTAATGTGACCTTAGAATTATGCAGTACTCAAGTTTCAGGGTTATTATCTTAGCCTCTCAGTGAACTATGACAGCATTTATCCTCTTCAGGCCCTATTTAGTTTTCTAAGCTGCACTGTACACACTCACAAAGAAAATTAAAAAATGATAATTTCTCCAACTCTTAAAAGTATCAAGATTAGCACGGCAGCTTTACTATTTGAAAAGATTCATTAAGTTTCAAAATTTGGAGGCTCTTGATGAAGGAGATTGAACTGTTGTTGACAAAGTTTTATTTTAGAAAGGCTTGGTTAATAAGGCTGAATTGCACTATAATTGAAAAATACTAGACTGGAAACCTGGCCAGGCCGTGCTGTCACACACCGGTTGTGGGGATATGCTCCAGCCACACTTTATGCAAAAAAATCAGGATTAGTTTGTGGTTTAATTTGTGAAATTATCTATCTAGCTATTGAAAAAAAAATTCAAGTTTCCCCTGAAAGAGGATGAAAATTATTCAAATGAACAGACGTGACAAACGAGTTAATATAATACTAATAATGATAATAATAAGTGTATATCTAGTCTGCAAGCCACATTCTCTGTATCTCTAACAGACGGCACACATTTTTTTTCAAGGCATCATTTCAGTCAAATTTTCCTGATTTTAATCTCCCTTTGATATCATATCAACATGACATGTTTTTATGTTAACACATAAGAAACCACAGTGACACAAGTGTAACAACCTATTTAAACTAAAATACATTTATTAAAAAATGGCCAAAGGAACTTCTGGAAACCACATCTTTGACATTTTGTGTTGGTACATTTTTTAAATGTTTTATTTGATATGATATATGGTTTAATTTAGTAAGTTTTCTATTTCCTATAAAGTTCTCCTTAGGGGAAAATAGGGTCTGGGCTCTTTTGGGTTAAACATCAATAAAGGTATTTGTAAATCTACTAAAGACACAGAGTAGGGTCTTCTGTACCTGAAATTAACCACTAGAAGGAGTATATGTTTTGTTGTTTCATTCCATGGTGGACAGCTTATAAGAAGGACTCCAGTAAAACAAAACTATATCTGTTGTATTTCAGCTGAATGATACAAGTTTGTCAAACTATGACAAATTCATGCCCTGAGTTGTTTAATATCCCATATCCAATCACAGTTATCATTTCAAAGCAGTTCGCTTGA